GGAATCAGATTCAACTGAGATGAAGTGGGACGAAGAGCCGAAAGAAGAAGAATCGGAGTCAATTGAGATAAAGTGGGACGAAGATGAGGAATTAACCAAAGATGAGAACGAAGAACTACAATGGACATTGGGAGATTTCCATGATGTTGAAAGGAAAAAAGGCGAACCAGAATTGGTGATTGTGAATGAACCGGAATCTGAAAAGGTAATTGAAGAGGCTTATTTATCGGGAAAAATATTGAGAATTTTTCGAAAAGCCTTTAGGAGTTCGTTCGATCAACATAAACAATGTGGTAAAGATCTTGATCGTTCATCATGTTTTTCGGAGTCAGAGTCGGAGTCAATCGGGAAGCAAGTCGATGAAGTCAAACATAGGTGGAAACGCAAATTGACTCGAACCTTGAGGACAAGGTTCATTTCAAGAGGGGTGGTTTGATACGACATACAATTTAATATATTATTTAATTAATTGTTTAGTTAGTATTTTATTATTAATTAATTAGCATAGTATAATTAGATTGAATATAGCCGAGAGTTAGTAGTGGTTAGGAGATTATTAGGTATTTAATTAGTATAGGTAATTATCTTTCCTAGTTAGATTAGGATGCTAGGGTTTTATAATGAAGAGAAATAATAAAAAATAGTTTTCTTACGTTCAGTAAAGAATTCTTATGATACACAAGAGATCGTATCAGTCTTGTATTGTGTTTTATCAATTTTATCGTTTGACATCATGAGTATTTTTTTGTCGATAAACTAAGGATGATGAAGCTTTTCCCGAAAGGAAATGGAAGAGGAGCTGGCAGCCATGTCAGCATATTTTTGTGCAAAGTCAGTACCGAAAATGCGGTAGCAAGTTTTACCATATGCATAAAAAATCAGGTTTATAGTGATCAACACGAAGAACGAACTTGTAAGTTTAAAACACAGTGTTTGTAAATTGCTGTCAGTGTTCGTTATTAAATCACTCACATGAAACACTACATCTTTTTTTTCTTGCAGTGACCGATAAATTGTTTACGGCTACCAGTACTAGCAAGGGAAGGCCTATATTCATGGAGATTGAAACTATGAATGATCCTAACAACGGATTCATTGTCGATGACACTTGTCTTCTACATGTTGAAATCTCATCTGTCGAAGATGTTGCGCAATAATTTCACTTATCGTCATCGAATACTATCACCTATACTAATTGGTGTTTTTTACTTGTTGAATAATATATATATATATATATATATATATATATATATATATATATATATATATATATATATAGTCTTCCAATATCTTATATTACATCAACTTATAAATATTGTTGTCTTTATTCCGTGGGCAGAATGAATATTTCGTCGCCAAATATCTTATTCCAAAGCTGTAATGCCATTGAATTTGCAACGATTTATTGTTGCCAAATGTAATTTTTTTAACAACGAAATTATGTGTGCCTAAAAACACTTACGAGCCACAAAAAGAATTGTGCCCAAAAAATGTGCCCAAAAATGTTTTTCAGTACAAAAGTTTTTATTTTCAATTTATATTAGTATCTTTTAAATTTTTAATTAATTGGATCTGTAAAAATTAAAAAGAAATAAAAAAATAATAATTCAAAATAATAATAAAAAAAAACAATTCAAAATAATCAGTTCTCAAAAATACAAAGAGTCATTATACAAAATACCTAAAAACTGAAATCCTAGTATCATAACACAATTATAGTCGAACATATTACAATGAAAGAGTATAGTTGAGATTATTTGTTCAATATTATCGCTTGATTACGTATTTCTTGTTCTATATATATCATTTGTGTTTTGCGATTTACTTCTTGTTAAACGTACCGGGAATCAATTAGCACATGTATGTGAAAGTTTTGTTTCCGTCAAACGAAAAAAGAAAAAAAAAAAACGATAGAAAGTGTGCAGCTAGCGATCTTCATTAATCTCATGGAACAAGGTAATCGAGAATTAAAACACACTACACACAAATTATTTTTTTCATCCTTAATTAATTAATATTTCAAGAATAAATACTATTCATGCTGATGATATTGTCCAAGGATACTTCGGACGGGAGGCGAAATAAATAGCATCTTCCTTTACTTCGAAATAGCACGAACCGTCGGAACAGCCTTCGACCAATTTGGAATTAAACACATCAAAAGATGCCCTCTTATTGTTCCACTCAACAGTGCAAAAGAATACCGTAGTGGAAAAATAATTTACGCAAAAGCTCCAATTAAAATCGTAGTTTGTAGGCGTGGAGTGATATCCAAGATCGTTATCTCCAGATGCACAATGCAGCCTCATTGGTGGGTTCGGGAGTCGATTGACCACATGAACGCGGTACTTATCGGTTAAACAAAGACCGGTAATTGTTGTCGGAAATATTGTTAGGAAAATACATGCTAACAAAGTGAGAAAATTGATGAGATTTTTCATTTTTTTTTTTTTTTGAAATGTTTTAGATTGAATTGAATTTTTCCAGATGTTTGGATGAGCTTTCTTTCCTATGCTATTTATAGGGTCTACAATTATAATTACATGCACTTTTTTATGTTGTATATTATGAGAGAATTATGAGAAGATTTCAAATAATTTGTTATCAAATGTGACAATATATAATATAATAATATATTATTTTTATTTATATCAATTTCTTGATTGTCGGCTATTAATATCTGGATTTGGTTTTGAGAATAAAGTAGAAGCATCAAAATACAATTCCCATGATTTTACTTTTAATTGCCATACTAGTGTCTAAGTTTGACTAAATGGTCAACTGATTACATATTGTACCATAACTTGTTTCCTTTCATTTCTTGATTTCTGCAATTTAATGATTTAGATTTGAATATTTACATCACCCTACCCATTATGCCATAATTATTTAATTTGGTTTATTTATTTCCGTATATTAATGAGTAATGACTTATATATGATTTATTAATAGTTAACTGCTTTGTGCAATAATTATGTGTAGTTTACTTTTTTATTAAATTTATTTATGATATTTCACTGAGGTAGTATTAATAAATGGAACATTTATCTATGGGCCCATATTGGCTACTTATTAATAAATAGGTCCACCCAAACAAAATATGTTTACATAAAGAAAATACCCCTCAAATTCTAATATACTTCATTTTCATCCACCAAATCATAATTTAACCTCAGTTTTGAAAGTTAATCAATTTTGACCAATTACTTCAATTTTAATTTCCAAATTACTTTTTATTTTTTAAAAAAGTTCAAAATGGAGTGAGGGAAAAAATTCGTGAAATTGAAATTAAATTAGAGTTTACAATCATGTATTGATTTTGAAAGAATTGGATGATTTTCCCATAAATATTAGGGTTGTCTTTGTTTGTTATACATGTTGAGAGGTTAGCTTATTTGCAAAAGAGGTGGTAGAACAAACTAATTTATGTATATTCTTGATAATTTAATTTTTGTTTTGCGGTCATTGTATATGAGGGGTGTAAACCACAAATTTTCGAGTCTGCAAAATATAATATAAATACAAGACAAGAAAATAGGGAACAAATAATTTATTAATTAAAACGATGGGGATTGTAATCTCCGTAATTCCCCTGATTCTTCTCCCCTATTCTAGTTTTGATTCAAGGGCTTAAAAACTTGTTCTTGAATCGAACATATGATTTCCTATCACGAACATCTCGAATTCAAATATGTTATGAATTCGATGAATCGAATATATGATTTCCTATCACGAACACCTCGAATTCAAATATGTTATGAATTCGATCACGAACATCTCGAATTCAAATATGTTATGAATTCGATGAATCGAATATATGATTTCCTATCACGAACACCTCGAATTCAAATATGTTATGAATTCGAGGCGGAGGCTCGAGACGTGAGCTTGAGAGCTCGATATGTGTCTGTGTGAGTCTGATTTTTAGATGCACCAAAGATCTCTTTTTATAGGCATAAGCTAGTAGGGTTAAGGTTTCTCGACTTGTAGAGTGGGCTGGACATTTTAAAGCCCAAATATGTTATGGACTTTAATTTGAGACCTAAATTAATAACTGATTTATTTTGGTTATTAATTAGTAATTTATCTCAAAATTTCGATGTCTACAGAGGGAGTTAAATATTACACTTAGTTATTTATACCGGATGGATTTGAAATATAGATTTGATTAAATAAATACCCAATAAGCACGAGTTCTTAGCAAGCCGCACCCTTATGAAACATCTAATTGCGGTAAAAGTCCTTATGTTACAACAATTACAATGTACCCCCTATGATGAGAAGTCAAAGCCAGTAATGCTCTTGCGAGCATATCGTGTGCTACACTCGCTGATTGTGTGGTTGGTAGTGCGTTTTTTATCTGAAAAGACCGAAATACCCTTTAAATTTTTTTTTTCAAAAATTACAGAGTCACCCTAAAAAAGACCCCTCTTTCAGTTTAGTCCTTAACATTCTCAAAAAATCCTCTTCCCCAAATCAATCATCCATTACCGGGATAATTACAGTTTTTCGTCCTTACACTTGTCACCTAAAATGATTTTAGTCCTTAAACTTTTCCAAGTTAACTTGGACGGAATTGTAGATGTGGCAGTAAAATCCGAGCTTGAATAGAGTCCCAGTCCATTTGGCAGTCTAATTATGAGGTGGAGTGACACCCTTATTCTCTCCTCCTATTCCTATACTCTTCCAATTGAGGTAAAATAAGGCAACACCGGAATGGCCCAATCATAATTTCACAGTTTGGGAGTGTGTTTTAGCTCGGTTTGACTGCCAGACGTGAAAATTCCGTCCAAGTTAACTGAAAAACTTGACGGCCGTGACAAGTATATGGACGAAAACTGTAGTTATCCCAAATTCAGGGTAAAACAAATCTAGGATATTGTTTGAACCCAATAAAAGAGACTTCAACTCAAATTATTTCCTTAGACAATGGTCTATCCAAGTTATTTCAACTGAAAATTCATAAATGTGCAACTAAAATACTCTATGATAGAGTGAGACTATGGAGGGACGTCTTGCACCGAGAAGATTTCAACATGTACAAGAAAAGAATCATCGACAAGGAATCCCTTTCCGGAATCGTTAATTGTTCCGAGCTCAGTGAATAAAGGCCAACCCCACCCGCCAATACTGTCTGAAGCTGAAAACACGTGATCCGTAACTGCAAAAGAATTCAAACGAACTTACTAGTTCGTTTTATGTGTTGGTTAGGATTCTGTATGTTTTTGATACATACAGTATAACTTGCTTGCACTCTTCCGGAACCGACATAGTACAGAAACATGCTGACGTGGCTGCCAACTCCTTTTCCATATCCTTTCGGGTAAAGACGAATGCACCATTTTTCGCCTCCAGCAGCAAATTCTCCGGAGTTCCAAAAGTTTCCCAATTCGGAGAAGTTATGAATCTTCCAATCACGTTTGTAAGGAATATCAAAAGTCCTCAAAGACATGCATTCAATGGCTGCTAATTCTTTTTTTACGATGAAAACCTCAGCACCAAACACACATGTGTCGTCGACTAGGTAACCGTTTGAGGGTTCAAACATAACTTTTTTAGAGATAAATTGGGAAAATCCCCATTGTGTCTTCATTGGTAGGAAACGTCTTGTTATTCCTGTGTCCATTGGGTGTTTTTCATCATTTATAAAACATAATTTAAATACAATATACTTACTACGTTACAAGATTACGGTGGTATTTGCAAAAACTTTTACAAACAGATTCTAATTTTTTTTTTCCCGTCATAATCAGTTTTTAGGAGTTTGTAAAATAAATTTTTAGTTTTGCTTTTCTTAAATAAGCAACTTCAAATTATAATTTGTAAAACACATTTTAGACCTGCTTTTTCTATTTAAGTTGATTTTCCAGCTAATCTGCAAACATGCTGAACTTTTACAAATAAAGACTTCTGCTTTTAATTAAGTTTTTGCAAACACCACCTAATTAAAATAGAAGATGAGAATAACAAGTATACCTAGTGAACAAAGATATTTGGCTGAAATCTGATCAAAGAGAAAGATGCTGAATACAGCATTAACCTCCTGTAGCAACAAAATCTTATCTGCGATTTAAACAAACAAGAAAGAATTGCACAAATATAATTTATTAAAATAAAATAAGATATTGCGGGTTACAAACTCTAATTTAATCATCTGATTCTTCTCTCAAGAACAATGTGTTTGACTTTGAATTTCGGAGACGGGTCGTTGACTTGATCTTCTCCGGATTTGATTTGGATTTGAATAACGTCTTTCGAGGGTCTTGCGACTTGAATCTCGGATCGAAACGCTGAACTTTGACGGGTTTTGACTTGAAGATCTTGGAGTTCTTGATGGATTTGACCCTTCAATCTTCCTTCGATCTTGATTTGTTGAAGAACGCCCTCGATTTGATGAAGAACGCCTTGAATTTGATGAAGAACGACTTGAATATTGTAAAGAGAATTTTCTCCTACGTTTTTTCTTCTTCTTGAGTTGTGTTTTGAATTGTGTAGAGAGGGTCTCTATTTATAGTGGTAGAATAAGAGTTCTACTTAAAGTCTACTTGATGACGTGGCGCGATTTGATTGGCTCTATTTAAATTGATGTTTATCTCTTATAACTTGGAAGAGAAGAAATAATCCTGTTGGCCAATAATTAATTGATAATTATCTCTATAACTTATTTTGTAAGATAAATTATAATTTAATTTAGACACAATTTAATTGGCTAATTTAATTAACCAATTAATTAATTTTATGCGTCTACAAATGCCCCCTCGAGACTTGTTCACGGACAATGCATCTTGGACTGGATGAGTCTCGATAATTGCTCAACTTCGATTGCAGTTTGATCTAGCAAAGAACATATATCTTTTGAAATCATGACTGAACTTAGAGAGACTCTAAGTTGCCTACGTACCCTATAAAGGGATCAAGTCATCGTCGTTCAAAATATATCCTTTTGAGGGATGTCGTGCACAGTTTATACTCGTGTGGACAAGGAGAAACATTTGCAGTTTAAACTCGTGCTGAAAGAGTATTTGACTTGGATTTGTAGATAGTTTATGCTCGTATCAAAGAGCCTTGACTTGATTTGAATATATAGATAGTTTATGCTCGTATCGAGGAGCCTTGACTTTATATGGATATGTAGATAGTTTATGCTCGTATCGAGGAGCCTTGACTTGAATTGGATATGTAGATAGTTTATGCTCGTATCAATGAGCCTTGACTTGATTTGGATATATAGATAGTTTATGCTCGTATCGAGGAGCCTTGACTTGATTTGGATATATATAGATAGTTTATGCTCATATCAAGGAGCCTTGATTTGATTTGGATATATAGATAGTTTATGCTCATATCAAGGAGCCTTGACTTGATTTGGATATATAGATAGTTTACGCTCATATCAAGGAGCCTTGATTTGATTTGGATATATAGATAGTTTATGCTCATATCAAGGAGCCTTGATTTGATTTGGATATATAGATAGTTTATGCTCGTATCAAGGAGCTTTGATTTGATTTGAACTCGTAGACCGTTTAAACTCGTGTCAATGAGTATTTCATTTGATTCGGACATGTAGACATTTTAAACTCGTGTCAAGGAGTATTTCATTTGATTCGGACATGTAGACATTTTAATCTCGTGTCAAGGAGTATTTCATTTGATTTGGACATGTAGACCTTTTAAACTCGTGTCAAGGAGTATTTCATTTGATTTGGACATGTAGACCTTTTAAACTCGTGCCAAGGAGTACTTCGTTTGATTTGACTTGTCATATTGCATAGGATGTCGTTTCTTCAAAAGACTTGCCCCCATCCTCATGATCTTCTTCAACACGTTCGTCTTTGAGCTGATACGACTTTTGGAATGAAGGTTCTTCGACTTCATTTGCAGTTATGCTCAATTCCATATCATGTGCTCGAGTGGCCAACTCTTCAAAACTTTTAGGTTGAATTCCTTGAAGGATATATCGGAGTCCCCATTGCATTCCTTGGATGCACAGTTCAATAGCTGATGTCTCAGGCAGTCGATCTTTGCAATTAAGACTCAAATTTCTCCAACGGTTGATGTAGTCGATGACATGTTCCTTCTTCCATTGGCGGGAATCGGTGAGCTCCATCATGCTGACAGTTATTCGAGTGATGTAAAAGCGGTTGAGAAATTCTTTCTCTAAGTGCCTCCAACTATCAATGGAGTTTGCCCCCAAATCAATGTACCAATCAAACGCGTTGTCTTTGAGCGATCGGACGAATTGCTTGACGAGGTGATCTCCGTACGTCCCGGCATCATTGCAAGTCTCGACGAAGTGTGCCACATGTTACTTGGGGTTGCCTTTGCCGTCAAATTGTTGAAACTTTGGAGGTATATAGCCCATTGGCATCCTTAGATCATCAATCCTTTGCGTGTATGGATTGACATAGGTTGATGGAGACTTCGAGCCTCATTCCAACTTGTCTTTGATGGTTCCACTGATCAGCGTCAGCACTTGATCTACATGAATCATCCCTTCTGGAGAAACTTGAAAATCTTGAGCTGGAGCCTTCTCGTTTTCAACTGGTTGTTGCTTTGTGGATGCCTCGACTTCGTCTTGAGCCTCTATATGTTCCACAATTTGACTAGCATCGGCTTTGTTCATCTTCTCGATCAACTTGGCAATTTGAGAATCTCGTTGTTGAACATGCTTTGTGAGTCCCTCAATTGCCTTGGTCAAACTTGCAATTTGCTCTTCCATAGTTGTAGCGTTTGTTGTCATGACGGATGCCATCTCTGAGTAGCTTGATGTTGAATGAGGCATGGGCTGTGAAATCTCTCGTTTTGAGCCTTCCACGTCTGCGCTTGTGTTGACAAGAGGTGGTAAGCCTTTTTGAACGGTTTGGGGCGTCGAGCTAGTCTTGGAGGATACTTGCAGCTTCTTAGCCATACTCCTTGTAACTAAGCCCACTCTTGATGAATCCGAAGTAGCAGTCTTCATTGCGAATGTAGAGCAGTCACTGCAACACTTTGAGGATCTTCGAGGGAGAGAAGAGATGAGAGGTAGAGAGGTCCCACCGGGCGTGCCAAAATTTGTAACAACAAATTTCTTATCTGCGATTTAAACAAACAAGAAAGAATTGCACAAATATAATTTATTAAAATAAAATATTGCAGGTTACAAACTCTAATTTAATCCTCTGATTCTTCTCTCAAGAAAAATATATGATTGACTTTGAATTTCGGAGACGAGTCGTTGACTTGATCTTCTCCGGATTTGATTTGGATTTGAATAACGTCTTCCGAGGGTCTTGCGACTTGAATCTCGGATCGAACGTTGAACTTTGACGGATTTTGACTTGAAGATCTTGGAGTTCTTGATGGATTTGGCCCTTCAATATTCCTTTGATCTTGATTTGATGTTAATAACGTTAATTCGAGGGTTTAGCACCGTAATCTCGAATTAAACGCTTTAACGCCTTGATTTGATGAAGAACACCTTCGATTTGATGAAAACCTTCGATTTGATGAAGAACGCCTTGAATTTGATGAAGAACGACTTGAATATTGTAGAGAGAATTTTCTCCTACGATTTTTCTCCTTCTTGAGTTGTGTTTTGAATTGTGTAGAGAGGGTCTCTATTTATAGTGGTAGAATAAGAGTCCTACTTAAAGTCTACTTGATGACGTGGCGCGATTTGATTGGCTCTATTTAAATTGATGTTTATCTCTTATAACTTGGAAGAGAAGAAATAATCCTGTTGGCCAATAATTAATTGATAATTATCTCCATAACTTATTTTCAAAGATAAATTATAATTTAATTTAGACACAATTTAATTGGCTAATTTAATTAACCAATTAATTAATTTTATGCGTTTACAAATGCCCCCTCGAGACTTGTTCACGGACAATGCATCTTGGAGTGGATGAGTCTCGATAATTGCTCAACTTCGATTGCAACTTGATCTAGCAAAGAACATATATCTTTTGAAATCATGACTGAACTTAGAGAGATTCTAAGTTGCCTACGTACCCTATGAAGGGATCAAGTCATAACGTAGTTCAAAATATATCATTTTAAGGGACGTCGTGCACAGTTTATACTCATGTGGACAATGAGAAACATTTGCAGTTTCAGCTCGTACTGAAGGAGCATTTGACTTGAATTTGTAGATAGTTTATGCTCGTATCAAGGAGCCTTGACTTGATTTCGATAAATAGATAGTTTATGCTCGTATCGAGGAGCCTTGACTTGATTTGGATATATAGATAGTTTATGCTCGTATCAAGGAGCTTTGACTTGATATGTATATGTAGATAGTTTATGCTCGTATCAAGGAGCCTTGACTTGATTTGGATATATAGATAGTTTATGCTCGTATCAAGGAGCCTTGACTTGATTTGAATATGTAGATAGTTTATGCTCGTATCAAGGAGCCTTGACTTGATTTGGATATATAGATAGTTTATGCTCATATCAAGGAGCCTTGACTTGATTTGGACATATAGATAGTTTATGCTCGTATCGAGGAGCCTTGACTTGATTTGGATATATAGATAGTTTATGCTCGTATCAAGGAGCATT